GCTGGACAGACATTATATGATTCAAAGAGGATTCCTGAAATGAAATTTGTTTCTAAATACTTTATGCAGCTGTCTTAGGTTGTAATTGTCCTGTCTTTACAAACACAGTGAGTGACATACAATGTAATCTGTGTGACCAGGACCAGTGAGTCCATGGAGGTATTTATCATTACTGATACTTGTTTTTTCCAGTTAAATAGAAGTCTATTCAAACATATAGATGACTCACGAGCTCAGAAACAGTTTCTGGTAACAGTGTCGTACTTAGAGGTAAATCTTTATTATATACCGGTACTGTGTTATTATTTCTCAAGAGTTCACACATATGGTAGTGTAATCACAAATTACTCAAGGGTAGTACCATTCTGGAACAGTAGATCAGCATCCTTCTTAATCTAACCATCTTGAGCTATCAACATAAACAATGCACAGTTCATTGGCTGTGAAAATGATCTCTGAACATCATTACTGCTGGCTATATTGATGTTTTGCAATTAAAAATACAAAATGTATCTCACTGTTACAGTGAACACATGTTTGGATTATATAATGTACACTACATTGCAGTGGTAAAAGCTATCTAACTAGCAATCAATTCTGTTTTCATTAGTATCATTTCCTTAATACCGCATTGAAGAAATATATTCCTAATAATTTTATACAACTGTAATTAAGTCCAAAATGGCAGCTATTGTGGAATAAAAAATGACAAAATCTGGTACATTGTGAATCTGTAATTATATAACACCAAATTGTTTTTTCTACATGAAAAATTGATAGTTGATGCCTTGGCTTTTCTGACTAATTTGCGTTCAAAGCCTCGTTTTCAGACCCAATGCAACAGTATGCCATAATCACTAATCATAGAAATCAGCACAGAACTGCATATCATCTGAATCTGTGTGTGCGATCCGGTAATGGATCCATCTATTGATTCTGTAATAATTTACCATTCTTATGAATGGAATGGTTCAAATGTAGATGTCAAACCCTACCATCCATCCTGTCTTTCAATTTTTCTTTAATCATTGATACTGTGTGTGCCTTTTCTTTTCTGTTAAATTCTTCACCTACCCAGCTTTCCTATTCTTTTGGATCACTACTGTGTAATTCCAGTATCATGCTAGGTATGTCCATATTTTTATTGCACTCTGACTTTTCATTTGCTTTTTTTAATAGTTTTAATTACCCATACCTAGTTCTCCTGAAGTTATATCACATTATGATTTATAATATTATTCCTGACTTTTCAGATGATGGATGAGAAGTTTACTGACTTGTTGAATCCTCACAACAATGAAATGAAAATTAAGCAGCATCCACAAATTGGCATGTAAGTAATATTTAGTTAGTTTATCCAATTACGGTATCTGTACACCATCAGTGGATTGTGTAAGGCACAAGTGGCACAGTATCTCTGCTGTGTTTTCTATATTGTACTTCCATGTTATGAGATTTGATCATGCCATAATATTTCAAGAGTCATTACTTTATTAGTAATGAATGAATTGGAAATATGGGAGTATTTTAAGAGTATTTTACACTGTTATTAGTATCAATGACGTAGAGTTACTCTAATCATTGTAAGCTTGAATTTATACTTTTTAGTTTTGTTGATGGATTATCTGAGATGGTTGCGTATAATGCTGATGACATCGCAAGATTGTATGACCAAGGCACCAGGGCTAGAAAGATGGGAGCAACTGATATCACAGCTCATAGAACAAGGTAAACAGAAATGTGAAGCGCCCTCTAGTGACAGCTTTTATTAGCGTGGATTTGTTGAAACTTGTATTATATTCATGTATTTAATCCATGATATACATGATAATTATTGTATAAAGTCAAGGCAAACAGTTCATTGAGAAATCTTACTTTAATATTATGTATATCATATATTGCTGTAAATTCTCTTACTTTTTAAATTGTGGTTTGCAAATGATCATATGTTTTTACCATGTACTTTTTATATTAATTAATTCACATTAGGGAAATGTATTGTGCTTTGATAGTTAATCATATAAGCTTATAAGGTAGTTGTAATCAGTATGGATACCTTCTCATTTATTCAGTTATTGTACAAAATTTCAATTCAAGCTGTTCTATTATGCTAATTTTGGGGGATCCTAACTCATTGGTTGTTATGAAGCAGGCTAATTATCGTGACGACACAATTGATGGTCATGAGACTGATGTTTGACATCTACAGACAGCTTGTTGTTTATAACCATGTGTAATCAAAGCTATAGACGTATTAGAAACTGTAAACCACTTTAATTTTGTGATTCATATTTTCCTGATTCAGTTGAAATCAGAAAATTTTGTAGAAATATAACATTTTACTGCATGCAGCATTCACAAAATGTTCTCATGAATGCAATGAAATCAAGAATAAATCTAGTGGTGAAAATTAAGTGGTTTACAATAATCAAATGGTAAGTTTCAGCTGTATATCATGAATTATAGTGAGATTTCATTATACATGTACTGCCAACAAATTTGTATTATACCATGTGAATACTTAAACTACATAAATGCTAAAAATATGTCACTTTACACCAAATAACAGAATCCCTGTTCCTTTCATTCAGATCACATGGCCTAAATAACAGTATCTCTGTTCCTTTCATTCAGATCACATGGCCTAAATAACAGAATCTCTGTTCCTTTCATTCAGGTCACATGGCCTAAATAACAGAATCTCTGTTACTTTCATTCAGGTCACATGGCCTAAAATAACAGTATCTCTGTTCCTTTC